GACGACGAGGGCGAAGCACCACCAGCTGCCGGCGAGGATCCTGGTGGACAGCGCCTTGGGCGCGAGCTCCGACCCTGGGGCACCGGAGTGGGCGTCACAGGGTCAGGAGGAGGGACGCGGGCGGGGCGGGTCCAGGGCTTAATGCATTTTGTTCATCCAGCACTTACCCTGACGTGTCGGTACAATCCATGCATTTTTTTAAAGAAAACGGGGTGAAATCTAAGGGATCTTTATCACAAAGCACTGCTCCGCCTGAAGTGTGCTTTGCTGGCCTCGGACGCAGAAGTGGTTTCTCCCCGAGAATCTGCCGGGACCGTGCGCGGGGCGAGTGCGGTGCTTTGTTTTGGGTGAAAGTCGGCCCCTGACCTGGCTCGGCTGCTCTAACGGACACGTCGTTGGGGAAATAACACGTCCTAGGTCCCCGACGGCCACGGACGCGCGGAATGCCAGCGGCTCCATTCCAGGTTAAAGCTCGAGCTCCTTTCGGAGCAGCAAGGTGCCGGCCGCTGACCTGAGCGTGGACGGAACCTGGGGCTTTACCATCGAGTCAGCGAAGGGGCAGCCGGACCGGAGGGGAGAGGACGCGCCTTTCCTTGTCGGGCGTTACTGTTCGAGCTGAAATTACTTTTCCTAATGGAGACACTGATTTGCCTGAAAAGAATATATTCACTGAAAAGCCTAATTTTCGTCCTTGAATTAAATGCCATTTCTTAATTACGCTTCACAGACCGGCTGTTTCTCGGTGAAAGGGGCCCTTCCCGGTGAAAACATACATTTTAGTCACCGGAGGCCCCTCGTTGTCTGTAACACAGGGGCCCTGAGTGTTCACCCAGAATGCCTTGCTCTCCAAAGACAGGGGTGGGGACTGCGTTCGCTTACAAAGAGGACGAACACCGATGGACATTCTCTGGCTCAGGCCGGCGGGACTCAGGGGCTGAGCGTCGACCTGTGAGCCAGGAGGTCAGGGTGCGAGTCCCGGTCAGGGCACAGGCCCGGGTGGCCACTCGATCCCCCGTGTGGGGCGTGCAGGAGGCAGCTGGTCCGTGACTCTCTCTCATCATGGATGTCTCTCTCTCTCCCCAGCACCGGGTCCTGGATGGGTTCTGGCCGACCCACTTGCCTACAGTTCACCGAAGGTTCTGCGCTTAGCGTTTCCTCCAAAACCCGGAGGCATCACCGCACATGCGACCATTTAAGCCCCGAGTGGAAGCGTCCGGGAGGGTGAGCCCTCGGCAGGCAGGGCCTCTGGGTTGGGGAATCCGCCTGCTGTGCTGCCGTCTCCACGCCTGGCAGTCGGCGCCGGAGAGAGGAGCCCGGAGCTGAGCTACAAGCGCACACGTCGCTCCTCGGGCACGGGCACTGCTCCCCTGGCCTGCTGACTGAGCTGAGCTGCTTCTAGGCCTGATTCTAGATCTCCCGTCCCAGGCAGCGCCCGCCTGACACTCTGCTCTTGGGGTTTACCAGGATGGACGCCACAGACTGTGGGTGCGTGGGGGTGTCTCGGGGTTTACCTGCATGGATTAAAAATACATACCACCATAGGTGAAATGGTTGGCAGCAATATACAGTATATGTGACATTGGGCAGGCGGTGTATTTATTTTTAATGTAAACTGTATTTTAAATTCTTCTGTGAACACAGAGCATGGCT